AGACGGAAAGTGGCACGGATACGTGATATTCCACGAATACGGGGTTGCCAAGAAGTTTTATACGAATAGACTGGCGTATTCAGATAGAAAAGACACACCACGAATGTTTGTAAAATCCGTTTAAACGAGTGATTAGGAGAAGTATCTAAAATTTATTGTAAAATCTGCTATAAGTATTGGAAATGTACTATTTTGATTCTCGTTGGTTCTTATTACTGCAAAGAACACAAACGCACTTTTTATATCTTTATGAAGAGTTACGCGAGGTATTTTCTTTGATTCCAGCTTCATGAAAATTAAACATTCTCAATTGACGCTCTAAAGGAACCGTTGTTTCATTCAACTTAAAAATTCTTGAAATAGATAAACTTTTCTTGTCAAATTTTTTCGATAATACAAGCTTTTGATTTCATAAATACTAACGCATAAGCATGAACAGAAATATTTTGTTGCATGCTAATTTTGTTTTCCACTTAAATTGATTGCTCTGGTATTTTTTCTTGGTATTCTTACCGTCTGTAGATATTAACTTTCATGTTGAGCGTTGTATGCCATGTATGTAGGTATTCGTTATTTCAAAATGTTGCTAACATAAGTGGACGATTATAAACGTTGTTGTTTGTTTACAGATTTAAGAGAAATAATTCTACAAGGCAGACTCAAATCTTCATCCTGGTCGACCCATTTGGGGCTCATTTTCGAGGCTAAAATCTTCTCCAACGTTGAGTAATGCATTCATGAACACTATCATTGTCACACAACAAAAAATCACTAGTTTTGCTACTTAACAAGAACATTTTCAATAATATTCATTGAATTAAGTATAGCATTTCGAGAATTTGATGTAAATATTTTCGTCAAATTGTATTATGTATTTTTATTTTTCAGGTTCTCATCAGAAAAGCCTAATATTCTCATCAAACCTATATTACTGAATATTCCAGATCGAAAATAAAAATTAGTATTCACTTAAAATATAAATTGTTTTAAAACATTATACAGATGTTTTTCATAACGTAAAATCTAATATTGATTAGCAAAGATTGTCTTGATTAGAGTCCTTCAAAGAATAGAAATTCAAAAAAGAAGTTAAGCTCCCAGATTTTCTGTTTGCTGCAAATGAAAGACAGAATACCTCTTAAAAAATAGTGAAATTTTCTTGAGTTTTTGATTTATTTTGTAACAAAAACCAGTTTTTAGTAGAAATTGTAAAAATAAAAATTACTCGAAACCGATTAGGAATCAAACTCCATGTTACCTATATGTGAGTCATTTTTCATAAAAATGTCTCTATAATCTCTTTTAATTTGAATCATGACTTATGATACATCCTGTAGCGCATTAGACTTTTTTGGGTTTGTTGGTAAATTAAATCCAACCTTGTTCTACTCAACATTGTTCTTCCCTCATCCTATTTTTATATTAGTTAAAATTACACGATTGTATTTGGATCGAAAATACCTGATAACTGTGGGAAAACGAGAAGATTAGAATGTTTCATTAAAGTTTAAACAGTTTTCAAGGTCTGGAGTTACTCATTCGGAAAATGGTACTTGGCGAGATGCATTTCTCATCTTTTAAGAGTACCACATTATACCGTTTGTTACATTCGATGTTTGCGGTCTGCTTGATCGTGCGAGAAGACGTAGGTGAAATTGTGTGAAAATCACTTAATTCCGTATTCCAAGCTCCAAGGTCGTCGGGTAAGTGCAACTGTATTTTTTCCGATGTGAACACTTCGTTATGCAAGATGATTATTCCTAAGTTGAGATAACCAAAGGCTAGAAAATAAAAAGTCAACTCCATTATACTGGTCTACAGCGCCGTATGGGAAGCAGAGACTATAAAAAAGAGTAGAAGAAGAAGTTAACTCCAGTATTCACCCAGAAACAGAAAACAGAACATTCAAAAAATTAATAAGGATCTGGTAAATGTCTGCCGGAAAACAACTACCACCCCGGCTAATACCACGCTGGACTTTAAATTATATCTGACAGATATTTATAGAAATTTCCTCACATCTTATAGATGCTTTTCGTTCACCCAGCAGCAAGAGCACGCTGAAATCAATCGAAATCATCATTAGGGTGCAGTAGAGAAACAAGAGAGAATTAAGATAAACAGGCTAGGGAAATGGTTCAAATTTAATGAAAATTCTATCATTTAATTTCCTTGATGGTTTTGTTCGAAATGTATTTTTTTGTATGTCTCTCAATAATTAGCATCAACTGGTCATAAACTATGTGGTAAGTAATAAATACATAACTCTTCGATTCTATTCAAATCTGTGGAATTTCTAAATTCGTCTTAATTTTTCATATATTATAGTGCCATCTATGTGATTACAAACGAACAAACTAAAAGCTGAAAAAAGGATTTCTTTTTTCATGTCATTCAAACGTCATTGTCAACGACAATGCAAATGTCGTGGCCAAGATCTTAATACATCTCTTCTGAAACAGTGAAATTGCTACTGCACGTGCATCAGGAATGGATCGTGAAATAGGGAATTGCACATGTATCAGCTTCAAATAATTCAATTCAACAAGTACATTACCCACGATGAAGCTGTAAAAACTGCTTGTTATTACAAATGAAACTAATTTCTTCGAATACAGAATTGTAAATATAGAATTTTTTAACCCCCTGGCGGTATCAGGTGACAACTGGATTGTTACTTTCTTTAGTTCCAATTTTTCATAGAGAGGGCGTTTCAGATGTCAAATTTTGAATATCCGATGTTTTCTAAGAACGGTTTATATTATTATTGTTGATCAGGAGGTGGAAGTTTGAGTAATTTTTCATAATTATTGTGTACTTTTCTATTAATATCCTTTCAAATTAAAAACGACTATTTAATGTTTTTTAATGAGTTGACCAACGACGTCACATAATAGATGAAGTATTCCTATTTTATCACACAGAAACAGTTTATTTCAAAACAAATGACTTCGCGTTCCCAAGAGATAGGTTTCTATTTCCATCTCTCTCTTTTCCTCAAACTGATATCACGCATAATCTGAAAATATTCGACTTCTCGTATCTTGAATAAACTTGAGTTCCTGAGTATTCCATTCTTGTTATCAGATAAACCAACAAAAATATATTTTAAAAACTTACGGTTTTAACAAAGTCGACCCCATTAAAATATTTTCTAAATACAGAGAACTTTTCATTACAGAATGGCAAATCCCAAGGAAAATCAAAGTCACCTGGAACGCCACATCAAATAATATGACATGCGAATAAATTCTGAACCTTTTCGATTTATATTTATTTCTACATCATTCATCATTTTAGAACAGTAAATGGGCCGTGCTAGGTTTTGCTCGTTGAAAGGTAAGATCTCGCGTAGTCCTTTTTCACCCTCCGAAGACTCCAGATGATTGCTGTTCGAAGAAAGACAATAAATGGTTAACGGTAAAACCCATTGTTTTAAACACCATATACAAATGATTGAAATATGAATTTTGAATCGTTATTTTATTACTTTTGAATGAGTTACCGTTTGAATATTCTTTGAATTTTCTCTGAATATATTTAATAGATATAAGATATCAGAGTTCATAGAAGGTTATAATAGGAACAAATTTAACAATCTAAGTCCATAAAAAACCACCAGGAAATATTTCTGTGTAGAATTTTACAACTCATGTGATTAATGTTCTTTTTTGTGATGTAAAATTTGTATATTCTTTTGCAAGTTGGTATAAGCGAAGACACAGTAAAGATTAATAGTTTAAAAAACAAAACCTGGTGACAAAATAACCTAATTGTTTACTATTCTGTGGTGTTTGGTGTTCTTTCCGGCATTGACATGACAATATGGACTGGTCCTTACTTCACTTTCACACACATAGGATGTATGAATTACATCACGGATCACATGAAGTTTTGGAAAAGACGTCACTGCACAAAAGAGTGCTTGGTACTCTCAGAAATATGAGTTGCATACTTAGTAGTCGTTTTATATACATAATCAGACAGTAACGAAATGAAGCACAGTTATACATTCAGTCATATTTTCACTAATTTTCGTTGGTATTGACGATTTATTCAGGACTGCTATGAGATTTGAAATATTTACAATAAAAGTATGCAACACGTAAAACATCGTGACGTCGAATCTGACTAATGCCAAAACGTGGATCTCTCCATCCTTTTTGATCTGTTAGTCAGTGTTTTTTCTTCAATGACTAGTCCATATTATGACGTCACTGGTTTCAGGCGTTTCGTGATTGGTCACACTGATATTTGACATATAATATTCCAAACCGTCCGTAAACATTCATGCTTTCATTATCTAATGGTTCCTGAATCCAAGGAAAGAACCGTACATTTTGAATCTTAACAGGATGCATGTTCTTCTTCTTCTTTTCGATTCAATGGCCTCAGCAACTAAGGCTATCCGACCAGGATGCATGTTAGTAACACACCCCTGACAGTTCAGGTATAATGCGTTTTTTTGGCATTATACTTGTAATTCTGGACAACGGCATTATTTGTTGGACCAGAATAGAATTCGCTATCTACAGCACAAAGTTGAGCATAGAATAAAGAATAAGAACGAATAGATCATATTAATGAGGTTAGGAGAGAAATTTCAATTGTAATAAACGTATTTATTTTCCTACGTTTCAAGAACATTTCTAATTACAAATAAAGTGGTAAAAAAACAAAGTTTCAATTCTCTTTTCTTTATTAGAATTATTTTTGTCACATATGGGTATGTCCAGTATTGAAAACATGTTGCCAACCGTTCATCTGAGCCAGCTTGGTCATTCTATATTGATACAATGGGAAAACCCGTGTATAATAAAATTAAAAAATAGATACAGGGCAGACCAAGCAATTTGCATGTGAGACACAAGTGATATTTTCTAGAAAATATTTCTGCATATTGAACAGTTTACAAAACCGCAACACGTGTTTTACTGTACAGTAGCTTTCTTACACTTGTTCATAATTTAAATTTGTAGGTTTCTGTGGCAAAGTATTGTCATTTTAATCTGAGAAATTCCATTCTGTGTTCCAGGAAACTGCCATAAAGCTATCGGGACTGAAAAAGTCAGCCTACCAAACAAGTCTGCACACAATCGAGAAAATGTTGGGTCTAGAGAAAGCGTTAACTGTATCTGATTTGTGTGTACAATTGAGTTGTACAGAAGCTAAAGCAATTGCTGAAGAAATTCTAGATAAATACATAAATAGCCATAAAATGCTGAATGATTTGAGCCATCCCCAGTATGTAGCAGCAGCTGTTTATTCTGCCTGCAAGTAAGAATCTTCAATTTCTTGTTATGTGAGTATGTAATTGTATACAAAACATTTGGGGTGCAAAACAGAACAGCCACAATGATAATATAGAGACAACGTGGACGCTATAACTGTTTCATTATAATAGTAACTTTGGACCGCTTGTGAACAAGGTGACTGTCACAATCATATCTCGCATCACCTACAAACTGTATTTCTACTTTTCAAATGATTTGTTTTCGATATTCACAGATCACTGAATCTGAAAATTCCAAAACAACAATTTATAGAAACTAGTCGATTGAAACCTTCCCAATGGAAGGAGCTTTCACTTGAGTTTGAAAAATTTGCAAGCACTCTGGAGAGTGGTTTCAAAAGAAACAAAAAGATTGATACTAAAAATACGCCAGAAGTAGTTACTGTTACAGGTAAAGAGTATATAACGAATTATTTATTCATCTATGGTATTCAATACAGTGTATTTTCAGAAGAAAAAGTTGTCTTGAAGAAAAAAGATCCAGAAGAAGTTGAAGAATATGATGTTTGGAGACAAAGAATTTTGAATGAAGCTTATGCAGCTCTGAAAAGTAAGGAGGCAACTGAGAAAAGCTGATATATTTTGAAACTTTTTTTTTCATTTCAATAAACCAATCCACACACTGTTAGCATCATTTGTAAGGGACCACTCCAGAATGCCTTGAAAAACAATAAGCAGAAACATTTTCCATTAATTGTTAGGCCTGTATTACATTTTTCTATGCAGTAGAAATGAAAAAAACAGTTTACTGTAAGATTTTTTCACTTGATGGTTTAACGAAACTGCGATACTCGTTTTGCTATACAATGACTTCGTCAAGCAGAAATGATGATTTCTTCTCCTTGAGGCAACTCTGTATGTCAAGTTAGCAGGTGAATGTTCTACACCAAGACTTAATCTGCTCACTGGGATCATTCACATATTGTTTGAATAGTTTTTGTTGAGGTACCTGCAATCATGTTTTTCAGTGCCCTATAAATACATTAAAATGAATCAAATATGGAAGACAAGCAGAAATGATGAGGCATTTGAGTAAAAGAGAACAACTGTTTGAGTATCCTCATGCATGTTAGAAGATTTATGATGTCTAGGAATAAAACCCAAGCTAGTCCCTTCATATGCTATTAAAATGAGTCATTTCTCTAACTCGGAAATTGTATACTCTTTAGAAGCAATCCGTGGAAGAATGCTCTTCTCGAACCTTTCCTTAATAGTCGCTCATGTTCTGTAAATTATCTCGCTTTCTTCTAATCTTTCCAGGATTTGCATCGAAGGTTATAATAGGAACAAATTTAACAATCTAAGTCCATAAAAAACCACCAGGAAATATTTCTGTGTAGAATTATTCAGAATATATTCAATTCATTCTGATACATTTTTAAAATTCCCACAAATACCCAATAATTTCACAAATAAATTAGAAATTTTAAAATACAGACACAAATAGTACCATTGTGAAGCGTCACTATATTTTACTCATCTTTGCGCCACTGTAAACCAACACGATCCAATTTTGACATATCTGTCAAAAAGCAAATTTTCGGAATGACAGTTCACAGCCAATCAAAAATGGCAAAAATTGACTATCTTTTTTTAGAAGAGTTTTGTTCGTTTACCTTTGATCCACTCAAATGAAAAATCGATGAAGCTAACCTAACTTTTTGTTTGTTTATGAACGTTGAATTTTTGAACTGGAATCGACTCATGACTGAATATGTGGAAACAAAGCAATATCTTAGCTAACACGGCCAGTAGGCTAGGTTTACCAGATGGCCCCATTCTAAAGTACGCAACAAACGCTCGTTACGCCAACCACTCTAATATTTCACATTTCCAGGAAAGCAGAGGAACTACTTCGATCTTTACACTCTAAGGGATCCTTGAAATCCATTAGTGATGTTGCTCAAACCATTTTATGCTTGGATTTGGCTGCTACGCAAACTACAGATGCTTTTGATAAGGTAAATCATTAGTCCGTTTGCTTTGACCAACATATTTTTTATCACAATTGACGCAGCTCATTTCGTAAATCCCAAACTTTTCTTTTTTCAACGTCTTGTTTTTCGGGCTGCCCAAAACTTGTTGAAGTAGGATTCTTTCTACAAACTACTTTGTTTAGAAACATTTTTNGTACAATAGAATAACAATTAGTGAACAATACTAATAATAATTGGTGATATATTGAACAACATATAATGGTGGTTGGGGATTACAAAAAGTTACTCTTATACTCTGCTTCTTAATAGTAAAGGGTAATAAATGCTCATTATAAATGCAAAAATGTACAGAATGTTCAAATAGGATTTTGTGATCTCGTTATGATTTGCCAAAGCTGGTAAAGACTGGTTTATAATACTTTGCCGGTTCATAAAATAGAAAAAAGTAGTGCCCTATAAATACATTAAAATGAATCAAATATGGAAGACAAGCAGAAATGATGAGGCATTTGAGTAAAAGAGAACAACTGTTTGAGTATCCTCATGCATGTTAGAAGATTTATGATGTCTAGGAATAAAACCCAAGCTAGTCCCTTCATATGCTATTAAAATGAGTCATTTCTCTAACTCGGGAATTGTATACTCTTTAGAAGCAATCCGTGGAAGAATGCTCTTCTCGAACCTTTCCTTAATAGTCGCTCGTATTCTGTAAATTATCTCGCTTTCTTCTAATCTTTCCAGAAGGATTTGCTTCGAAGGTTATAATAGGAACAAATTTAACAATCTAAGCGACATTCAACTCCTGCTTACTAGTCCATAAAAAACCACCAGGAAATATTTCTGTGTAGAATTTTACAACTCATGTGATTAATGTTCTTTTTTGTGATGTAAAATTTGTATATTCTTTTGCAAGTTGATATAAGCGAAGACACAGTAAAGATTAATAGTTTAAAAAACAAAACCTGGTGACAAAATAACCTAATTGTTTACTATTCTGTGGTGTTCTTTCCGGCATTGACATGACAATATGGACTGGTCCTTACTTCACTTTCACACACATAGGATGTATGAATTATATCACGGATCACATGAAGTTTTGGAAAAGACGTCACTGCACAAAAGAGTGCTTGGTACTACCTCAGAAATATGGGTTGCATACTTAGTAGTCGTTTTTATACATAATCAGACAGTAACGAAATGAAGCACAGTTATGCATTCAGTCATATTTTCAGTAATTTTCGTTGGTATTGACGATTTATTCAGGACTGCAATGAGATTTGAAATATTTACAATAAAAGTATGCAACACGTAAAACATCGTGACGTCGAATCTTACTAATGCCAAAACGTGGATCTCTCCATCCTTTTTGATCTGTTAGTCAGTGTTTTCTCTTCAATGGCTAGTCCATACTATGACGTCACTGGTTTCAGGTGTTTCGTGATTGGTCACACTGATATTTGACATATAATATCCCAAACCGTCTGTAAACATTCATGCTTTCATTATTTAATGGTTATAAAGCATATTTTGATTTGATTTGATATATTTGATTTTTCTGGTTCCAAGAAAAGAACCGTACATTTTGAAACTTAACAACAGGATGCATATTCTTCTTCTTTTCGATTCAATGGCCTCAGCAACTAAGGCTATCCGGCCAGGATGCATGTTAGTAACACACCCCTGACAGTTCAGGTATAATGCGTTTTTTTGGCATTATACTTGTAGTTCTGGACAGTACGGTATTATTTGATGGACCAGAATAGAATTCGTTATCTACAGCACAATGTTGAGCATAGAATAAAGAATAAGAACGAATAGATCATATTAATGAGGTTAGGAGAGAAATTTGAATTGTGATAAACCTACGTTTCATGAACATTTCTAATAATTTTCATGGCCTGACTTTGTAGTTATAGAGAGGTATGCAAGAAGGTGCATATTTTTTATTTATCAATAAAGATGTCAAGTAAACACCTTAAAGATTGTTAGTTGGTTCTAAGAAAGATAAAAATACATTTTTAGGCTTTAACTTGTCATACTCAAGATTGAGCATTGGTCAGGATTCTCACATATACCAAGGAATCAGGTGCTATAACCGACTTATCAATATATTCCCGTTCTTAGTCAGCGAGTGCAAATGTGTTGAAGGATAATATGAGAGTTTTTAGACACTACATTGTAGAGAATTTTAATCCAGTCGTATGTGTACTTCTCATACATTGAAGAGCTTTCAATGTGTCTCAAGTTTTTCATTGTTCGAAGTTTTGGCTATGAAGCCATTTTCAAGAACTTGGCTTGGAAGTAGCCAGATTGAAACCCTTGGGAAGACCAGCGATGAGAATAAATAGCAGTTTTGAAGATCCGCAAACAAAATTTAAAAAAAAAGTGTTCAAAACTCCACTTCATTTCAATCAAAACCTCCAAAATCGAATTTGAACGGTAGAATAGAATGTCACACTATAGAGAAATAAAGTTTGCCTTGTTCAGAAACCACTTCCCAGCTTTTGTCATCCTAATTGAAAACGATAATATTCCAAAAATGATCTTTATTTACAATTCTAAATATTTATTTACAACAGTCTATATATAATGGTATTTTTTAAATATAAATACACAGTGGTATCAAATCACAAGTGACACAATAGCCTGAAATCCGAAACAAAACATTACATTCGGAACATTCCAACCCCCACTATTCCAACAATAATCAATACATATCCTAATAATTTCAATTGAACAGCACCATATTTCACCATAAATTACTCTCCACCCATAAGCAGCAGTTACATAATTTTTTACCCATCAGCGTTAGAAGAAAAAGTCTCCAAAAAAGTTTAATATCCAAATCATTCGACGCGCTAAAAATTGTAAATACACATCTCTTGAGACTCCATATCTCCCAATCAACTGATTAAGCCTCAAAAGGCTGACCCGTAATTAAAACCATTTTAGCCAAAAACATCTTGAAAATATCTCATTACCAAATTCTGACAGTACCGCCAAGGATTTACACTGACGGTAACAATTCACACAGAAAGTCACTTTCCAAACATCAAACAACCGAAACACCTGGTAACCAACCGCTGTAGCTCAAATATTGGGTGATTGCTTCTTTGATGTTCGTATCCGGTGTGTCGGATTCGGAGGAGGATGTCCGGTGTTTCCCGGGAGATAGCAGGTTTTCCTTAAACAAAGTTATCAGTTGAAGCGAATTTGATAGGAGAATTATTCGTTTGTGAACGTTTTCAATATCTTAATTTTTGGCATGACACATTCTTAAAGTTTCTTTAATCAATATTTGTTTTTTCAAGGAAATATCTAATTATATAAACCTGTTATGGTTCAAGGCTATAATAAACTCCAAAAATTCCACCATGACGCTATTTAAAAATTACTTTCTAGATGAGGAATGTAGATATTTTTACAATTACATCAGTGGGTGTAAACTTTCACAAAAATGTTTTTACAAATGCCTATGGTCCTCGTAAAGTTAAAAATCTTTCCTAAAAACTACGATCTCATTAACTGGAATCAATGAAGTCGCCCCGGAGCGCCAATTAATTGTTATTGTTGTTTTTATTTTATTTTTATCGTTGTTTTAATAAAATGTTCTCCTATGTTTTCGGATCTCATTAATTTTTAAATCTGTTCAGTCTCAAATATTTTACTGAGAACGTAAAAAATTTATTTGATTCTTCATGAGTTAAAAAAGTAATCTTAATAGTTACTTGTTGCTGAAAAATGTCGCGTTTTTAAGTATAGTTTTGGTGGGTATACAGAGTACAGTAACGAGTATAGTATGATCACGTGATTAGAAACACATTGCTATATATTCTGAGTATGCAAACTATATTTACAAATGCTTTGGAATAAGATCGTTATACTCTATTTCAAAAGAATGCTTACCTGGATGATTAATGCCTTCAAGGTGTTATAGTGGATGGGCTGAATGTTCAAATTTGCACAAAGCTGAAAAACAAGAGTTTTTGTTTATCCCCAGAAACATTAAAAATTATCAGTTGATCCACAAAAAAAGTAGTAATTGTTGTGACATTTTGTAATAGACAATTTTGAACAGTGATACTTCTAGGTCTAGTTCTATTCAGAAAGAGCATTTTGTGTGTGTGAAAAAGTTCAACTGCAAGAGAAATATTAGCTTGACCTCCCAATCCAAATCAAAATAAAGAAGATAGGTTAAAATTATCTGAGGGGAGATACATTATAAATTCCATTTCAAACACTTGCAGGATATAAAAATCGATGCTTAATATTGGCATATCCAGAGCAACAGTTTTATGAATTTCCACCCTTACCATATCCAGAAGAATGACAGCTGAGGCAAATTATTCGAATTCAATTGAGTTTTGCAATTTTCGAAAAACAATCTGCCACCCTTGATAGAAGGAGTAACTTTGAACTTGCACAGAAACATGTAGTTTTAGTTGGAAGGTGCTTCAACACACCAAAAATGTGGATAAGAAGGGATGAAAGAATCTTCAGGCCGCCGCGGTCCCTTGATCTAAACCCACTTGATTTTTCTTTGGAACTACACCAAAATGTAGCCCCAAGGAAATGTAATAAATCATATAGCGCAAGAAATATGAAATAATCTGCCAGTATTTACAAACCCATGTTATATAACTATTTCTTATCAGAAATGGCCTCCAAGTTTGGACCATTACTTACGAGACACCCTGTGTGAATACAAGTGCAGGGGGATTACAAAACTGCAAGAATAGAATATCGCATAATTATATGAAATGGAAAGTTCGAACGTGTCTTCAAAACCTCGCTATAACTTACTTGTATTTCGTTTTCAGACAGCAAATTTCCCGATGGGAAATGCTTCAAAGGCACCGGTTCGAGCGGTGCACTATCCGAGTTCGAGTTGTTGCTGGAGAAGCAGTTGCTGGTGTCGCATCCGTCGCTTGGAGGAGGCCACGTGAACCTTTCTTCGGTGAAACTTTTGTCGGCTCTTTCGTTTTTTCTAACACAAACAAAAATATCTCGCTGTATTACAATCTCATAGGCGTTGAAGCTATCGAAAAGGTCAGAGCTAAGAAAACAACATGCCAGAACAAAGAAAAGAAACATTGCAGAAGTCTAAATAAATTCTGTCGTTTTATTTATTGCACGGGATTACCCCTTTTATAATAGTACAAGCATCAAATATAAGAAATATTCATAGGAAAGACTAAAATTGTTAAAGATTCGAAGTAAATTCAAGAATGTCAAAATTAGTGAAATCACTAAGATAAACAGAGTTATATATAGATTATACATTTCAAGATACAGAGATAAAGAACAGATCATTATTTCTGGCCATGATACATCGGAGGAATTACTCTAGTTTTCCTCCCATCGTTCCTAATTGTAGAATTTAATTGCCTGATATGTATGCAGTTTAGGACTGGTAGCCAGATTTTATCTACGTTAATTCACTTTTCCTTTTCATTGAAATTGTCTTTGTGTTCATAGAGAAATTCAAGTACCCAGCTCTTTGAACCCAAGGAAAATTGTCAGCTCGAGCAAACTGACAAATCAGCTGCAGCCAAACATGTCCTCAAAGAAGGCGCTCACGTCATCTCGTTCGAAGAAACACAAATACTTGACAAAACTCTGAATTACTATCCAAGAGTATATAGGAAGGCAGTGAAAATCATTAACACAAAAACAATTTCAATCAAGAGAAAAAGGAATGAACATCAATAAAATCTGGCTGCCTGTGCTAAATTGCACACAAATCAGAAACAATAGGAACAAAGCCAGGCACACCACCAATGGAAGAACAAGTAGAGCCTTTCGTCCGTTGCCTCCTCGCCTTTGAAAGTATCTATCGCAGTCGTAAAGGAAACATAAGGCTGAGAAAGTGAAAGTCTTCGTCGTAACTGGTTGGATGGGAAATTTAAAAACTAGATATTAGCAACTTTTGAAAGTAGACCATCCTGAATTAAGTCGAACAGTCAGACTAACTATATCAATGGTAACAATTATATTTTGTGTACTTAGAAGTTGACTATCCCGAGTCCCGTTAAGATATTCAAGTTTATAAAAACGTACTATTTGTAAGGCAATAACTTTTTTGATATTGCTCGTGAATTTTACATCGAATCTCAAAGAAAATAAAAAAGTACTTACTCGTTTTTTTGGGGAAACTCCAGCGTTGCATAGCCACTGCTGCCCTAAGTGAAATGCAAACTGATACAATCTGTTTCTGTTAACGATAGTATTTCTGTCAACTCTAGCCTGCATACGAAACCAAACCATGATGGTAATATGAAATAAGAATGATTATCGATGAAATCAACAACTATGACAAAACGTACACACACATATACCACACAAATAAACCCAACTCGACTCATTTACTCTGTGAAAGAAAAAAAGGTTCGAAAGAGAGAAGAAAGTAATGGTGAAATGGTGAAAGACAACAAGAAATACTTGAAAAAATTGAAATGAATAGGAAGGTCTGAAGTTTGTGGTTGAAAGTGGACACCAAAGTACACATTGATATTGCTGACATAGATAATGTCAGCAAAAGTCAGTATCAAGAAGTCAATTTTACTATATTACAAGCTCTGTTCAAGAAATAAGGTGAATGTTTATGTTCTTCAGAGGTTTATATATCCTGAGTGAATCTCCGATGATGTATAAACCTCTGAAGAAGCTAGCCATTCGCGTCAGCGAAACGTCAGGAATAAATTAAAAAAATCGACGGCCTTTAAACCTGAAAATTTGTGACACTGAAAACCTAGGCTGCGAATGTCTTAACCGTTTTGTCAAAGCATCTGATCTCTGCTTTCCTCAGGTCAAGTGGGTCATAGCTGTAAACTCAAGGGTAGTTGTGTGATGGTATTGAGGTCCTTGTCACCAGGTGTCGTGAGGCGCCTGAGACTTTTGTGCTGTCGGCATGTCCAGCAGATGTGGTCTCAGGCTAAACCCACCAACATATCGCAGCCCTAAGATTAATGCATTACTAGTCTTGGTACACCTACAGTATCAACGAGACACTGGTGTTGCCTTATACTCCGGGGGATATTGAATTGTTGTGAAGAATTATACGACAGCAAAATTACCTGACGTCCTCCTCGTCCATTAAAGTAGGACAAGGAAATGGGTACCTCACAAAGAAAAACAGATGAAAGTGAAAAGAAATGAGATCGAGAGATGCACAATGAACGAGTAAAATGAGACCCAAGCAAGATGCGACAGCTATTCAAACATACTTACAGATTTATTCTGCCTCATCTGCTGCTGCCTCTCGTAGGCAGCGTGCTGCTCATAATGGATAATTTCCTCCTGGGTAGTCAAGCCGAGACCGCGGTACTTGAGCAGTTCTGAAAGCCTATGGCGCAATTCTCTCTCCCGCTCGATGCTAGCAATCAGTCTCTCGTGCTCTCCTGATGAGAGATACTGGGCAAAAACTCTCATTTTCTCTCGAAGGTCCCTAAATGAACAAAATAATAGATATTCTGATGATTGAAGATATAGTAAATACACGCCTGAAGAAGCTACTGTATAGCGATCCACGTGTTGTGTTTTTGTGAAACTGTTAAGTGAAAATCCCCCCATAAAGTTTTTCTTGAATAAAAGATATAAGAACTGAACCAAAGCACATCGAAAAAGAAAAAACTATTTTCATTACAATAAGTCTTACACTATACTATACACCATACTATATTTTAAGAATTGTCTTGAAATTTCAATTATCCGTGAAAGTAAAATATACAACTCACCTCTGCTCCTTTGAAAGCGTCTGTTTTTGATGCAGTTCCTTTCTGTTGGCAAAATATTTAGCTACCAGTTGATAATCTCTGACAATCCTTTTCCTTCTGGCCCTCTCACGCAATCGATTTGTATGTAACCTTTGTGCACCAAAAATATAGTACAGAACAGTCTCCTCACTATAATATCGAGGTTTATTCATCAGAAGGATATCAATATAAACTGTCCCTCAGAAGATATACTTTAAATATTCAAGTTTTTGGTATAGGAATACTTGGAAATAAAGAAGATACATCAAATGACACTAAATCTATGCGCCCCACAACTTAACTGTGAGCAGTTTTAGCTTTTGGGGGCAGTGCTTGCTTTGGATTCGTAAGACAGTAGTTCCAAAATCAGAACCGATGGACAAATTTTGACGTGTGCAGCTGGTATATTATTTGAAAAGGAATCATCAAGATATTGCTCACCCTCTCATAATCATCCCTGTGGGGTTTGTAACCAAGCAACCGGGCCTCCTCTAGAGTAACATCAAGCGGTGGCAATCTCGCTGTAACAGTAGGTGACAGAGGACCTTCGTCTTCAGGCACGTGATCTACCAACACTTGCCTATGATTCGCAAGCTGCGCCCAAGTCGCGGTTCCTATATTTCCTTCTAAATAGCGTGCTATATACTCTTCTTTAACCTCTTCAGGTGTCCTAGTTTCGACGTGTTGGCTAACGAGTTCCCAATTTCCAAATCCGTACAACTCTACGGCGTCCAATAGCTGCAGCTGTTCTTTGCCAGTCCAAGCACCCTTACCCCCGAAGATGCTCACTGCGCAGTGGTCGACAAATTTGTAGGAGTGGTCATTACGGTGGGGGCCAATTTCTGCTCCAGCAGAGAAACACTGGAAGATAGAATAACAATTAGTGAACAATACTAATAATAATTGGTGATATATTGAACAACATATACTGGTAGTTGAGGATTACAAAAAGTTACTCTTATACTCTGCTTCTTAATAGTAAAGGGTAATAAATGCTCATTATAAATGCAAAAATGTACAGAATGTTCAAATAGGATTTTGTGATCTCGTTATGATTTGCCAAAGCTGGTAAAGACTGGTTTATAATACTTTGCCGGTTCATAAAATAGAAAAAAGTGAGCGTTCTTTGTTTATGTACTACATACCTATTCATTGTTGTACATCATATACCATAATTTCTTCGTAAACCTAAATAAAAACCATAATAAATATTCTAGTAGTTGGCACTGCGATATATAATTTGTCGATAATCTCTTTCAAAATGTTCAGAACTACAAGGAGTCTTACAGAACTCTGTAATTTATAGATCTGAGATATAAAAATGAGTCAAATAAACCTAATAATGATGAGAGTGTCTCAAGGCAGCACTTTGGGGCCTCTTCTATTTATATAAATTTCTTAGAGGAATGGATTTCTCAATCTATTTGCTGACAAAAGTCACACAGTAGCATGTTGAGGCAATAATGCTGGAAAAACATTATTGGAATTGAATAAATTTATGTCAAATGAAACAAAAACGATTTCAAGTAAGAAATGCAATTTAGATGTCAGGTACGAGCACTTAAATATTAAAATTGAAGGACACAAATAGAAAAGTTACAGTAAGATCCTATTCCTGCCTACAAGTATTTTCCTTAAGTTTTCCATTTCATAGGATGAATAAGTTCAAGTGTGACAGTTCATATGCCAAATTTATGAACAGTTAGTCAAATATTGTCTGTTGGCAATGATGGCATTGGGGTCAGGCTGTATAAAAGTAAAAGTATAGTTATGCTTGATCCGTGAAAATATTTCCCAGATGAAAATGTTAGAACCCCGGTAGTTATATTCCCTTGTAAACATGGTCAACTTCCCATTAACCTGATAGTATTTCAAGTGACAAAACGTTGTCATCAGCAGAAATGTATTAGTGATTGATTTAACCCTCTATCAAATAAACCGCTTTTATTTTTTTTAAATATATACATTTCAGGTCCAAATGGACTAACTTTTTTTTTATTCTCACTAAATTTGAAATTCGCGGTACTGTAGCGCAGCTACATCACGTGATCTTTACCTGAAGGCAGATTTCAAAATCAGGACATACGCAGCATTGTATTCGGACGCTGTTGATTTCTTCTTGGCAATAAGTACAGCTAACTTTGGCAAATAAATCTAAAACAGAGGGAATCGTGGAAATCTACGAAAACTCTGAAAAAATACTATAAAATACAAGCGTCACCTACCCGCCATGACAGTTGTAGGCATTTATTCTCGAATCTCGACGTGTGTCTGTAACCGTAACCGAACTTAGCGAATGCGGTTAGTGCTGACGTCACAACAGTGTTGGCATCATCAATGTCGACATGTCAGTGATTTATAATAGCTCTAGTCAGAGGTACTATTTACGTGTTTCTTTCTACTCACTCTATGAAAACTTTCTTTCATAAACAGAACCAAACAAATGTTATATGTTCAATATATTTATCAGACATCAGTTTCTGAATATTTGTAAAAATTTGCCATTTTTCAAGTCTTTTTCTTTTCTGACATACAATATACCATCTAGTGAATGCAATAAAGCGCTTTTACTCTGGATTCAGGGCAGCCGTTATCGCTTTTTTTGTTTTGGGCACAGTCTCCTTGAATAGCCGTTAGTTATGTCAACTGTCACTTTGGTTTTAGTCTCCAGAAATTATTTTTCGTGAGATTTCGTTAAGCAGGTATCGGTAATAGCGTGTTTATACCACCATCTGAAATTGATCCGATGGTTGTTATTGTTAATGATTTCTGTCGAAAGTGAACCGGTTAACCGTTTGAATTTTAGATTTTACATTGGTGATAAATATTAGTTGAGTAGAATGTTCGAAGTTTCTCCTACGATAGGTTTGTTTATATTTTTGATAGAAATAATGTGGTTGGGTCGTTTACTGTAACTATCAACAATAATGCTGTAGATTTGCGGTATATCAACGGAATTTCGCGAAAAATCATCTCAGATCTCTCTCTCTCTCTCTCTTCATAGCGTTTCCCATTGGACAAACCAGTGTCACACTAGTGCATATTTTATGTTCCATTGATAAAACGAGTGACAGGTTACATGTTCCAAGTCAATGAAAATTGAACTCAGTGCAATTTTTTAGCACGAGCTCTTCGAGATCGTGCAAGTTCTGTGCCTGGGAGGATGTTGGCGTGTAAAGAGAAAATAGAAATGTTGAATCTATTATTTTTATCGTCTTTATCGAATAGTAATGGATAAATTGAAATAGTATTTGAAATATCCGTGGGTAAAAGTGAAAGTTTTCAACACATAAGATTCAACGTTTGTTTGAAGGTGGTTGACATGCATAATATGATTCAATTACTTTGGAGTGAATTGTGCAAGATATATGATGGAATTGGCCAATACTTGATGAAAATCCATAACTAACGTATTCAAAAAACACTTTATTGTGAAATTTTCACTAAACAATTTTACCATACAATGGCTTCTTCGGGGTTTTTTGAATACGTAAGTTGTGCAGAAGTAAATTATTGGTAAAGGTTTTTCTTTCACTTTTGATGAAGTTTCAAAAAATGACTTTCAGATTTCGGTAAGTTTTGGTACAGAAATTTGTTTCGCCAAATCTAACTCAAGAAGACAGACACTAAACTTTAGTGATCTCACACTTGAATGATTTTCGTTAACTTGAACTTGGACCTTGATAAGAATTTGGTCAAATGTAATATTTCATAATTTTCTGTCCAAGTTCCTTGTAGTGAAGAGAATCACGTTTTGGCATTTACGTCACTTGTACACCCAAAGTCGAATACGTCACGATGTTTTACGTGCTGCATACTTCCATGTGAAAATTTTGAGATTCGATTGGTCACATAGTGATGTGACGCAGTGGCCAAGACGTTGTATGATTCGCAGGTGCAATATATGTGAAAATGACGTTACGTCGAGTCCATATTTACTATCATGTCTATGTAGAATACACATGCGCTATGAAATACTTCCTGAAGACGTCAACTTGGTTGGTGGAACGCATGTCTGTCTAGAGACTGTTGTAGTTCTTATGTCTGGTATGTACCTGTTTAGAGGATTCATTCTATGCCAGAGTTCGTTTTTCCCTTCGTTTGGATATTATTGAAAACATTTACAGGAATCTATTCATTCAGAATGGAGTCACAGCGTTACCTATGCTGTGGAATTGAATGATGATATAGGTTGCATTTTCAAGATGAACTTTTCTCTCAATGGTTTCAAATGTGTGAAATGCTTTCTTTCGACTTACATTTCATTTACTGTTTTGGTGACAACAAGAAATGATAACAACTGATGATTATCATCATTCAGAAAAGCCAATTGGTCTAATGTTTGATACAGAAAAAAGTTATTTTCAATATATTCGATCTGAGGTTAGCCTGAGAAGCTCGTAGGCTAAAAAAAATATAAAATTTGACTGTATTATTTAATATAGTTTGCCTTCAAGGGTGATACAAACACTCTAGTAACACTATGTAAAGTCGCTGCTGATGGTTTTCCCTTTTCAAGATAGTCAATGAATATTACACCATGCACATCCCAGAAGAGATAAAACTGCAGTTGCAGAACAGGGTCTCACAAAGGGCAGCAATGACATTGCCTTCAAATGCACGCAAGTTCTTGATGAAGCAAGAGGGTACTATCCGCTACTCAGAGTGGCCACAGAAATACATGCAACCATAAGGAAGAGAGCTTGAACATCAACAAGACATGGGTATCAGAATGTGATAACACAAAAATTCTCCCAATACAAGGTACAAGAGCAAGTCTTCAGTCATATTTTCACCTCTCATAACATTTTGGCTGTGACAGAAACAGTTAGATTTAGAGCCATCAGGGCTGAAAAAATCTGTTGGAGTATGGATATTTTTCAAGCACCCTTCACAATGTGAGCCTTCCTCTACTTCTTCCACGCACTTTTCTTCAAATTTGAGGTCATGATAAACAATATCAATGGCTTCTTCACATTTCATTTGTTCCGGATTACATTCACTGGCGGGCAGATTCATTTTTATCAGAGTTTCATATGGTTCGATTATCACAATATACTGTATTTGTTCCAAAAATAACAACAACCTATAAAATAAAAATTGTTCATTCTCCTAGTACCATTGCCATATCCTTATAGGTTATATCGGTGCATAGCACTGACCCACTGACACAGAATTCTGTGGCGCTGATTGTTCTGTGCGGTAGCCAGTGAAATCATAACATGGACTGACCATTCAAAAGAGAACATAGACTCCAACAACTAAAAAAAGATAAAGAAATTCATCTCTTGGCAGTTTTGCGTGTTACATTGGGAATTTGATTTTATTCGTCACATGGTACGACGCAGCGACAACCAAGAAGTTGTCTGATCCGTAAGTGTAATATGTAAATGTAATATGTAATATGTAAATATGTAAAAGTGACGTCACGGCAAGTCCATATTATCAAGTCTATGACTTCTTCTTTTCTACTTCTTCTTTTTTTTTGGTCTTTGTTTCCCTTCGGCGCAGTAGACCAAAGTCATCGGTCAATAAAGAAGAGAGTAGACCAAAGTCTATGACTTGATAATATGGACTGTTAAACAGACGCGACAAACATAATATGATTATATGATATATTTTTCCTCTCTCTCTATCTCTCTGTTTTTAATGGTTGTTACTTTCACTCGGGCGCACTTGATCAGTCTCCTCCACAGAACACTGAAATTTATTTTCTGTAATCTTTGGTCACCTTCATAAATAAATATTGTGTCTATGCATTCGAGTTGACGCCCGATTCTCTTGATATACGGGGAACTGAACTTCGTTTCATGCTGCATTTTCGCTTCAGAACACTAATAGAAAGAGTATGATAATGATTTCATTAATGACGTCATAATTGATAAAACGTTACTGGCTTTTATGAAAATTGAATAAGCTTAAATTCAACCATTGATGAAAAAATTGCACTGTTGTTTTATAGTGAACAAACAAACTTATTCAAATATATAAACGAAACCAACATAGAGATACTTTAAACGTGCAGCTCAACTAGTCTTTTTGTCATCGACAAAAAATTTGAAAGGTTAACTGGTTCGTTTTTATGAGAGATTGTTGGTAACAACTTTCGGAGACTATTTTTAGGCAGGGACGTATCTCAGAGTAATAATATAAATAAAAATATTTTATATTACTCTGAGGGACATATCTGATCAATGGGATCTCGCGAAAAAATGCCTATAGACTTTATTATGCATTGGAGTATTAGAATACGGTTCTTTAAATTACCTACCAATAGAAGGACAGGATTTTTAACATCATAGGCAGTATGCAATTGGAAATTGAGAATCTTACTTGGAAGTGGAATACTATTTCAATGATGTAGGAAGTACTACCCGCTTGATCGGGCGTCAACTAAAATGCAGCTTTAGATTGTAAAATTATGTCATTTTGAAGTCACTTCCAAGTGAAGAAAGATCTTCGAGACGTAAGCCCCGATGAGTCTCTTTTCTGAGGATTTATTTTCAAATCAGGTGAATTCTCGCATCGAGAGAAAAATAGAATGTCTCTTCTCTTTGTTTCATTTTGATTTTTCTCTTGATGTTACAGTTCATCATACTGGAAAATAAGGTTTCTGTAACTGAACTTAAAGAGTACGTAGTTCAGACATTGTCTATGGACAATGGTTCAGTGGAAGCCGCAGCCACTAAAGAAAATGGTTTCGTTATATGGTTTTGTGTCATCGAAATAGGTTGTGTTATCAAAACTATAATAAAAATGAAGAAGAAATCCAATATAAAGCTGTAGTGATCAAGACAAACCTATACTTGTGCGCATGCAGTGCTTCGCCAATCATGACCTGATCGTAGTGTCCATACACGTAACCGTAGTGCATCACCTCACATTAGTGCTTACACTCTAATGCAGACGGACATTGCTTGTTAACTGACCTCAAACTACAGTCGAACTTTGTTATAGCGCAAAACCTAGTGGGGTTTGGGTCCAACTCAGATCCACTTTAGTGTGGGCTCCACCTGTAGTAGCATGTTCCTGGAACTCCTGGCTGGATAGCCCTGGCAGCTGAAGCCATTAATGGAAAAAGAAGAAGAATGAAGAAGAAGTTTTTTGTTGTTGTCATTGTCAATAATTGAGGTTAATATAGCGGCTTCTACAGAAATTCAATTTAATGCAGATCCAATCAAACAAACGTACAATCCCCCGAAGATGTCCCAAACGACCCCCGGCGACACTCCTCCCGAACAAGTCCACTCGAAGAGCATTATCGTAATACACCCCGGCTCTCTGAACCTTAGAATCGGGCGCGCCTCCGATTTGAACCCTTTAACCGTGCTACATGCCATAGCGAGACGTAGATTGCCTTACGGCCAAAGCTACAGGGACACTTTCCTGCCCGAACGAATAGATCTGAGCCAACCCCAGGAGTTCGAAGAAGCCAGGTTGGCCGTTTCGCACACTCTGCAGTCCTGTCTGCAGTCGGACGGTAGGAGGAGGTATTAGAAATTGCGCAGAGCAAAATATATTTCCGCTATGATAATGATATCAGTAATAAGAAGTTGGCAATTAAAAAAATGCAGTCAATAAATATTTCATAGACAAGATTTATGACTATAATATCTACAGCTCCTATCATTTGAAAACGAGAGACACCAAAAGTCGCCTCGCTAATGAAAAAGCTATAGCAAAACTAGCAGAAGTAATGAAAATCGTTGCTAGGTATATTATTGTGCCCTCATCTTATCAACGAATCTTTCATTATAAAAGAGTTTTCCAATATGAAGAAATATAATGGACTACCAGTGTTCAGAAATAAGAGATTGACAAGCGATACAACAAATAATCATTAAATCCTCAAGCTAAGCTATATTGCTGAAATATTTTGAGAGAGAGATATACGTTTAATGTCATAAGAAATACATCTTGTCAACAAACATTTTTCTACTAAAATGTAATGTATAACTATAAATATTGATAAATTACTATGAAAACTTGCAGTAAAATACATGTGGGAAGCAAGCATTCGAGATTCCTGTAAACCTCTTTAAGTTAAACACAAAATGTTACTAGTATTCGCAATTTTGGGTATGGTAACGGTATGTCTAATTAAAAAACATATCGACAAATTTGACACTACTTACACACGTCCCGCCATCCGTCAAGCTGGCAACATCAAACTCCCGATCCCATTTTTTTTAATAGTTCGTACTTGAACCTCTGGCATAAAATGAATCTATTAACCTCATTTTCAGGACTTACTTCATCAGAGTACAACTTTGAGCCTTTTTGGTTTTATGCCTGATGTCTCTTATTTATCAAACTTATAACATTCTGATCTCAATCATTATTAAGATTGAATCAATCAACCGTTTTAAATTTTGTACTCAAATCGTGATTTAAACAATCTAATCCAAGTCACTTCAACCCTCTTATTATTATTATATATTTCAACAGATATGCTACTCCCCCACAGCAAATCGCAGCGTTCAACCGAAGGTCCCAACCGGAGCTGTTGGGCAATAATGGGGGCGAATGGATAAAGCCAGAAGGAGACGTGGTCGTAGGCAATGACATACTGCGCTTGAACCCCGAAGAGGACTTTAATGTGCACTTTCCTTACAAGCGGGGCGACTTAAACGTGCACCCTGGAGGTGGCGGATCTATAACGGCCATCATGGCAGACCTTGAGGCGATTTGGGGTCAGGTATATAATTCCTCATTAGCACAAAGGTTCTCAATATTCAAAATTCACTTTAATAGCGAACAGTGCCAGTTGTTCGGTGATGTGATGATATCGGACATTGTCATAAATAATTCCTTCACACATCCTTATCAATATAAAGTAGCAGCTTCACGGACTACTAAGTAATCGACTGTCCGAAAGTAAATTTCAGAAAGAACTGAATTTTATCAAAGGTAGATATTATCGACTTCATTCTTTCCAAAAAATAAGCCATTTACTAGGTCTATTCGACTTGAGTAAACAATAATAAGCGTCATAGGACATTGACATCGCTCGTTTTTTGAAAAAAACACACTTAGGCGTTGCTTATTGGAGAAATAATAATTAAAGCAGTAATATAAGCAGTAAAGATGAAACTTTAGAATCGGAAAGATCAGGGATATGTAACTTTGAGTTGTGGTTCTTGCCCAAAAATTTATATTGGCCAAACAGGGAGAACATTTTCCCAAAGAATAAAAGAACACAGAAGTAATTTCTTGAACGTGAAGACCAATTCCACATTTGCAAATCATCTATTGACAGAGGGACATCAGTTAAGAAAATTGATATTGCAATCTTCTTTTGTAGGTGCTGGAAACGAACTTCCAGATTAGTAAAGACGATCTGAAGCAGTGCAAAGCCGTGCTTATTATACCGGATGTTTATAACCGGATGTACTTGAGAGAGTTGATGTACTTGCTCCTGTCCAAAATGGGGTTCGGAAGTTGTTTCCTCGTGCAGGATCACGTAGTGTTGAAAGGAAAATGAAGCAAGACTGACGTGTACTGTATGTTGCGGTGGTATTAAATTGATTTCAATGTTTTTTGTGGATAAGACACACTGTTTTCAAAACAAAAAGACATTCCAAGGTCAGAATTTTTTGCTTCGTAGTAGTTGAACAACACCGGTTCTGGCGCGTTTCAAGGTCGCGCGTCGTAATTGTTTCAGAGAGAGACACTTTAGTGAGAGGAAGAGAGAAACGTGTGACGTAATCGATGCAGAGAAGGCTGGAATGAGTATACTAAAGTCAGAAGCTTTTGCTTCACAAATTAAGGGCGGCATGAATCCCTGCATAAACATCTGATGGGTTTTTTTTGTACAGGGAATACCATATTGAAACGAAATTGTGCGCAATTTTCCCAGAAACAAATTCCATAACGTAAATTGAACTCAATTTGAGCAAAATAAACTGATCTTGTAATAGCAGTGTCCAATTCTCTTGCAACAACTCTCACTGCATAACATCCTGCTGCTCTTCTTTTACATAATTAGTCGACATGGGGATCACATTCAAGATTTTCATCAACGTATGGCCTAAAAACTTAATTTTCTCTAACTTTTCCATTTTCCAAGTGTACTTACCCGATGTCACATCTACCTGACCACATTTTTTTTATCGATGTTGAATGATGAAAGATCACGAATTTAAAAACTTGTTGAATCTACTGGGATCCCAAAAAGTTAAAATTTGGAAAAAATGAACAGTACCAGTGTGTAGAATAATTTTTTATTGAGTGGAGCTAAAAACACATGATATTAAAACCGCCAAAACTTTTGAAATACATTAAAAAGCTACTGATAAAGCTACCATGTAGCAAAACGTGTCTCAAATAAATTATGAAAATTGTATAATAATCATTGATTTTTATCAAGTAGGTCATAGTGTTAATAGTTTGCCTGTTTCAATTTTTCTACATCACTCTGTGACCTTTATTTTAGGTATGACTGGACTGAAGGAGAGTCTTGATACTACGTCTTCGGACCTGCTGAACGACAGCTTCTTAGACAACCATTCTCTGGATTTCATTTTTGACCGTACACTGGAGAGATACATATTGTCTCCTACTTCAAGGAATGAGGATATCCAGTTGAGAGATGCACCTCTTAGTCCATATCTTTCCAATTTCAGTAAAAGTTTTTGATGATTGACGCAGTCGAATGCCCGACTCAAATCACAGAATATCACTTTTCCATTTTTACATTTACCAAGTGTACTTACCCTATGTTACATCTACCTGACCACATTTTTTTTATCGATGTTGAATGATAAAAGATTAGAATAACGAATTTGAAAACTTGTTGAATGTACTGGGATCCCAAAAAGTTAAAATTTGGAAAAAATGAACAGTATCAGTGTGTAGAATAAATATTTATTAAGTGGAGCTAAAAACACACGATATTAAAACGGTCAAAACTTTTGAAATACATGAAAAAGCTACTGATAAAGCTACCATGTAGCAAAACGTGTCTCAAATAAATTATGAAAATTGTATAACAATAATCATTGATTTTCATCAAGTAGGTCACTGTATTCATAGTGTTAATCCTACTTTGGCTGTTTCAATTTTTCTACGTCACTCTGTGACCTTTATTTTAGGTATGACTGGACTGAAGGAGAGTCTTGATACTACGTCTTCGGACCTGCTGAACGACAGCTTCTTAGACAACCAACCAAATAATGCTAACGAAGACGACATAGTTGTCGATGCTATGGATCCCGTCGTGATGACATCCGTTCGGGAATTCGTAACAAATCCGGGGCAGATTCTAGGCTTGGATCAAGCTGTGCTTCAGAGCATCGACAGGTGTCCAAACGAAGAAATCAAAAGGAAGATGTATGGATGTATTCTAGGTGAGTTTCAATTTTCTAAGAACATCAGTATTGATGTTTTTGCTTATATTTTTATGTTTCAAAATTTGATTTGAAAAACAAGTATGTGAAAACAAAGGCGATTATATTTTCCCCTCACAAAAACGCCATCTATGGGATAGACAGAGAACTCAGTCCACTGCCTTGCAATGAAAGACGAGACGAATCTGGTCGGTGGTCGATGTTGAAGAGTAGCTTTGCAACTGACCGCATTCGGAAGCCTCGTTAATCTTTCATATTCGAGGATTTAATTCTCCGTGTATTCCATAGACGTCGCTTTCGTGAGGGAGGATGTCATCGCCCTTGTTTACAGTACTTACAGTTTAATGTTTAACTATCTTCCATTATAACTTTGCGAAAGTACATTTCTCAATACTCTTATTTTACAGTTGTCGGAGGGGGTATGAAATTTTCCGGTATAGCGACTTGGCTCCAGAACAGAATATCGCTTCAAATACCGTATCTGTATAGAGCTGAGCAACTTGATATCGTCACCAATCCGAGGGACATGGATTCTTCGATGGTGGCTTGGAAAGGAGCTTGCATTCTTTCTTGTTTGGAGACTGCCCACGAGTTGTGGATTCAGGCGGGGGAGTGGGAGAAATTTGGGGTTAGGATTTTGCGAGAAAGAGCGCCGTTTACCTGGTAAAGATGAAAGATTGAAACGATGGAGTGATTCTTTTTATTTGATAGTGTTTATCATTTCCATGTCATCATTTATAATTGTAATATATATCGAAAATATGAATCAGCGATGAGATGTTTTTTTTAAATAAAGTCATTTGAAAAATACCAGTGAAGTTATTATTTAGCTTTCCTGCTACCAAAAAAGTTGAGAAAAGGTATTCAAACTTGACATTAGCCTCTCAAACTTAACAAATTGAAACACAAATTTCTTAAGGTTTTTCCATAACCTCACTTATTCACTTCAAACAGAAACGTCACAGGACAGCTGATAAATAAAATGACCTTCTGTAGTCACCTTGAATTTAGACAGGTTGGAGCCTGGCTCCCTTACCCTTTGAACTGATATGACCTTCCGCAATATTTAGACGATGTTTATGTAAAACCCCCCCCTCTCACACACAAACGCATATACACATACAGACTAGTATTCTATAGTCGACTGAAGTATATTAGTTAAATCGGAAAAAATTCCGTATCATATTCATATTTCAAAAGAAAGAAAATCAAGTATATAATTTTCTTACAGATTTTGACTTATTTCCCATTTCTTAGATTTGTCAAATCAAACAACAAGGAATAGCTGAATTGTATAGATTTTTACAAACTGGCAAACTGGTCAGAGAGCAACAAAAAATGTAATCTGGCAGATAAACAAAAACAGTAAGAAATATGGACTCCGCCAAAAATATTGCAAAGAATAGCCCTTCACTAGTTTTTATACCTTGCGTGTCCTTAAAAGGTGCGACAATTTGTCTTGGATCTAACCTTTCACCAACTTGAATACCTTCCATGGAGTTTTCTCTCTTGATATTTCTTTTCTTAATAGTATGGGAATCCATTATCTACGGCCTTTAACCGGCGTAGACATAAGTGTGAACTTTTTTTTGACTTAAATACGAATTGAATCATAGCACATTAAAATAGCTTTCTGAACTATACAGGCAAACTCGTGGAAAAAACAACTACCTGTAACCACATACTTATAAACTTATATTTTATTCAATAGCGTTTTTCATTGGTGAAATTAATAAACAGTCAGTGTTTTCTATCCTTGATTAATTTATTAAGGAATTGTGCACACGCCACACTGTATTCTGTAACCATGTTTACGCGTTCTGTGCCACTGGCATGCCATCTTTTTTGTGCTTCATTTGTCATTTCTGTTGTCGTGCTTTGCGTGTTGCAGTCACCAGTCGCTTGTTCCCTCTAGAGTGGAGTGTATGCTATATCAGAGGTGTGTCAATACGTAAACAATCGTATCTCTATAGTCGTTAATCTCATCTCATGTTTAACCTGATACCGAGGTGTCTAACGCGTAAACGGGATAAAGCAATGTTTTTCTTTCTGTTATCACTGATAAGGCGGTAGCGAAATTGATAAGCCAGTGAACGCGAGTGCAAGTGTCATTAAAACAAAAACAAATCTATCAGGACGCGGGATTCAATAACAACACCTTCACAGGTAAGCTGATGGTCCGTCCGTTATTAGTAACCTGGGCGTGTACCTGGATTTTTGAGCAGGATTTTAAAAATGGACGTTATTTATGTTAATAAGGTTTTTTATTTTCTGTTATGGTGAAACATGCGGAATTACATCTTTATACCTGGTTAGAAAATGTTTCTACGGCAGGGCGTAACAAAAGTTCATGAGTGATTATTGTTCATGACTCACGGGTTCAAGCATTTAATTAACGTTCTCGTCGCATACAAACACCTGTCTAACACCGAGAAAAATAATTTTAAACAGTAATTTTAAGTATGTAATGAATATTAAGTTTGCCACCCCCCAAGAAAAGAAAGTAACTTGGATAGTGACTGAGAATATTGAGTTATATATTGATAGAAAATGAAATATGGCAAGCATTGAGCTTTTTTTAAGTGTGTTACTTTTTCGTTTTTTATATATCATGTACGAGGTCTGGTCAAAAAATAATAAGGTTAATTTTAATTTTTATTTTTGGTGTGTCATTGAGCTCTCTTAGTGATTCGGTTTTCATCTCCTCAGTCGACGCAAAACGCCGTCCTTTCATGGGTTTCTTCAATCATGGGAAAAGGAAAAGTCGCAGGGGACCAAATCTGGTGAATACGGTGGCTGAAGCATGATTACGGTGTTGTTTTTGAGCAGGTGCATTATCGTGATGCCCGTTATTTTTTGAACAAACTTCGTACTTAAACCTTTGAAAAAACTACATAAATCCAGTGGTGTGGTCAGAAAAATAAAGCTAATATTTTTAATATTTTTAATTTGAAAAATTATGAAAGTTGATGTTTTAGTATTGGTAGTGTTACAATTGATTGAGGAATATATTTTAAAGGGTACTTCCATTACAAATTGGTCACACTGTATGAACATGCAAGGCACGTATCGGCTATAAACATTTTATGTAATTATACAACACCGTTTGCTTAAAAGCAAGATTTTTGAAAATGATGAGATTGCAAGCATTTTGTGTGCATAAAACTCAAAAAACTTTGTATAAAATTACAAATTTTAGGGTTAACGTGAAATATCTCAAAGTGGAGATGTTTCGTGATATTGTTAATGCCAGATTAACTCAATTGAATTCGAAATATGAAACAAAACAGTGGATTCAGTAAAATAATTTTGAAAATTCGTCTACAAATGTACTGGGAAACGGATGACTTGAGCAGCTGGCGTTATCCGAAGTTAGAAGAAAACCAAAACGATTTTTTTCCCAAAACTGATACCTGCAACGTTGGCAACTAATAAAAACTTGTTCATTGTCAAGCAGATCTCCGTTTCTTGTACGTCTTATTATTGATTCCTGAAGGAACTTCCATAAACCACGAATATCCGTCTTCAATCCGTCTTCTAAAGCTTCGCGGTGTTAAGATTAAGGCTTCCTTCGAGTTTGTTCTAGAATTTCATTCAATAAATCATAATACACTCGAATCAGTTGAAGCGGAAAGAAGTTATTGTTGAAAGATGATAGTGAAGTGAAATTTGAAACTTAAGTAGGTATCGTTTACAATTATTAACGCGGGGAGTATTTCCATTGATATAATATGGAATTTTCAATGTACATTTTTATAGAAATGTTAGTACTTATCGTGACTCTGAAGAAAACTGTAGCATTGGCTATGAGTTCGGTCACAGTGACCAATTTTCTTATTATAATTACCATTAGCAACGCCTTGAATGTTACCATATTTCTAATAATTCAAGAAACATGGATAAGAAAGGCAATACGCCCACTCAATTCAAGGATCAGTTGGATTCTGTGTATAGGGACTCTGCACCATCCTTTAACACAGTCAAAATTTGGGCAGCTGAATTCAAACGTGTCCGTAAGAGCTTGAAAGACGATAAAACTGCAACTACCGACGAAAACATTGCTAAAGTTCACCAAATGGTGCTAGACGACCGCCAAATTAAAGTGTCAGAGATAGCAGGGACTATGAACATGTCATAAGAACGTATTTGTCACATATTGATACAGCATTTAGGCTTGAGAAAGCTGTCCACGGGTTGGGTGCCGCGTATGCTCACGTTAGACCAAAAACGTGTTCGAATGAACATTTCCAACGCTCGGTTGGTGCAGTTTAGGCTCAATAAATCCGAGTTTTGGCGCTGATTAATCATTGTAGATAAAACATGGATACGCCATTATACGCCCGAAACAAAATACAGTTGAAACAGTGAACTGCAAAGGGGGAACCGACTCCAAAAGAAGCAGCAACTGTTTTTTCGGCTGGGAAAGTGATACGACTGTTTTTTTAGATAGTTATGAAGTTATTTCAATCGATTATCTTCAAAAAGGAAAAAATAATTACAGGAGCATACTACGCATCATTACTTGACAAGCCGTTTCACCAAGACAACGCACCGTTTCACACCTCAGCGGTTACCATGGCAAAAATCCATGAATTACGGTTTGAACTGCTTGACCATCCGCTTCACTCACCAGATCTAGCCCCAAGCGACTTCTTTTTGTTCTCTCATCTAAAAATTGCGTTCGGAGTACAGAGATTTTCGTCAAAAAAAGAGGCAATTACCTTCGTGAACAATTATCTTGCAAAAAAAAACTGGAAAAATGTATCGTATCTTTGTTAGGTCGGAAACTTCCCAGACCACCCTCGTAGTTTCAATCGGTCAAATAGGGTAGAAATAAAAACGTGATATTTCAATATAAATTAGTGCCAAACTCCCATCGATTGTTTTCCAAACCCCAGGTGCATTTTTTCTTTCTTCATCGCGGTCCACTCGACAAACCGAAATCGATTTTATTTTCCATCGTAGTTATTCTAAATGCCTATTTCCCGTTCACATATTTCATCCATTTAACTGTTCAATGCACTCAGGGTGCATATGGAGTCTGCAGGCCGTGAGAGAAATACTCTTGATATATTGTGTGTGGCGTTGACGCGTTTGATTTGTTTTGAATCGAGAGACCGGGGACGATTTCCTCCCAAGAAAACACGCCTTCGAGGGTAGGATAAATAGGAATGAATGCACGGCGAATATTGTTTATAACGTCGAGACGTATTATTAATTGTTAAAAGGTAATTGGTATTCTCAATGAGAAAATTTTGACCCCAGCTTGCAAGCAGCAACTACCCCCGTATTTTTTCAAAAGCATGGCGGGTCGGCTGATTAATAATTTGAAAGATATTTTCCTATTACCTCTAAATCGGTACATTCGATATTTATTTATTGAACGCAAAGTCAAACAAGTTGGTAGAATTTATAATATCTCCATTGATTTATTTATATCCAAACAAATCTAATCAGTTTCTTTACTTGAATAAATTGAATTACTTGACACTCAATCAATGAATCAAATAACAGCACACATACAGGCATTATGTACTCATATTTAATATCTAAGATATATAATCCAATAAAGTGCGTCTACTCGTAAATTTATAATAATAATCATATCTAACTATCTAAAACTATCTAAAAAATAATCAGGTGTACGGGGGTGGTCCCAGAAGTACCCTGCCTGACCTAGAGGTGTCGGTATTTATTTGCAAAATATCACTATATTACAAATTACACAATCTATAAAGCATATGCTTCAAGTATGAAGACGCTGCATTGTTCAGTATTTGTTTGGCAGCCATCAATAGCGAACGATTTCGGTGGAGTGAAAATGGAGAAAATTGGTCACCGTTATGTGGTACAATACTTTATTTGAGAGGCCTCAGTCCAACCAATATGAAAGCTGAACTGGATTCTACTCTGGGCGAGTCTGCTCCTTCGTTTACAACAGTAAAATATTGGGTAGCAGAGTTTAAACGAGGCCGTACGACCGTGCAAAGACGAGAATCGCAGTGGTCGACCGAAACACGGTAAAGAAAATCCACAAATCGGTACTGAATGATCGTCGACTGAAAGTTGTCGAGCTAGCAGACTTAGTAGACATTTCAAAAAGTGCGGTACATCGTATATTATCTGAAAATTTGGACATGAGAAAGCTGTGTGGAAGATGGGTGCCGCGGTTGCTCACACTCGAGCAAAAACGGGGTCGTGAAGATGTTTCAATTGAAGTTTCACAGCAACAAAGCAGAATTCTTGCGTAGTTTCATAACCATGGATGAAACATGGCTCCATAACTTTGCACCCGATACAAAAGAATAATCAAAACAGTAGTCAAACAGTAGTCAAGTATTTTCCAACGATAAAGAAGTGGCTATTTATTGTACTAATGCAGAATAGAGTAAAAGTTTAAACCCAAAAACAATAAAAATTATTGTTTTACCTGAAACAGAACCTTTATCTATCCATAAAAACAAACCCATATGTTACATGTCATTTATATTGAGGTAGCTCACGTCTCAAGTAATCGATAAGCCAGATAGATGACAGAATTTACTTGATCTAGAGACCACGTGTTCACATTTACTTCTGTCTTCTGTCTGTCCTGCCGGCAGGCAGACTTTAATCTTTAATGTGCATGTGAAAGAAATCTCGCAGACACCGAGACACACTATTTATATCTCGAGCAGGAACTCGAGCTAGTATACGGGGTGTGCTGGAAAAGTTCCGAGGCATGAACAAAATTGGTGGCTTCATCTTTTCAAATATAGATTCAGAATGCTCCGAGTTTTTGACAATTCGTCGTTGTTTGTTCAACTATTCAGAATTTTCATTCCTCAATATTGATTCGAATTGAAAGGGGATATATTTTTAGGAGACATTAGTGTTTGGAGAAGTAGGAAGCCAAAAAGTTTGTTCCCAACAATTAGTATTAATATTTAATGGGTTGATAGTAATTTGTGTAACAAGTCCGAAAAATACTGTTGTTTTGACATGCAGCCCAGGAAGTTCGCACTTCCCGAACTAGGCTGGAAAAATGCTACTTTCAAACAACAGGCAACTAGATGCCTATGAGAGTGTAGAAATAAGTAAACACAATAATATCATGAAAAACAATGACAGACCTATACCAAAGAGCATACTATATAGCTTGTTAAAATAAAATAAAATAATGTAAA